AATATACCTACTTCAATATAATTTAATAAAAGTTTAAGGCAATTTGAAGAAGTTTTCTTATTGATATATTTAACTGCACCATAATACCCATACTCACCTTATATTTTATTAATATAATTTATATTTATTATATATTTATTTTTAGCTTTAGTTTAATAATAAAATTTTTGACAAATAGTGTTAATTTTAGTATAATATTAAATATATTAACTGGTATATTATCTGGTATGTTAACAGGTATATTAACTGATACATTAACTAGTACATTAACAGGTACGTTAACTGATATGTTAATAGATACGTTAACTGGTATATTAACTGAGTTGTTAAATAGGTTGTTAACTGGGTTGTTAAATAAGTTGTTAACTGAGTTGTTAAAAGGGTCATTAACTGGGTTGTTAACTGGATCATTAACTGGATCATTAATTAAATCATTAAATGGGTCATTAACTAGGTCATTAACTGGGTCATTTATTAATAATCCAAAAGATATAAAAACCCTGCTTTTTTTCCTAAAGCAGAGCAGACTGTTTCCTCCCTATTTTTAATTTCTTATTATTTATGGTTTATTTTCTTGGAAGTGTAGCTATTGCCTACCTTCTTTTTATTGTATTTAATAAAGTTTTTATTGTGTTTTTATTGTGTATTTAAAGTTGAGCCATTGCCTTTTTTTTCTTCTTTGAGTATTTACTTTTGATATATTAAGTTAAGCTATCGCCTCTTCTCCTTTTTTTTTAAATATTTTATTATGTTTTAGAATTAGAGCCGTTGTCTCTTTTCTTTATTTTTGGTTTCTTGTTTTACTTTAAAGTCTCTTTTAGTTTTCTTTCTTATTTTATTTTTTTCTTGTTTGCAAACATATTTTTTAATTCTCTTATATATTAAGTCAAGTAGTATAGCTTTACTAAGACCCTGTATTTCTATATTACAACATGATTTTGTTTATATTTGTAATTTTAATGTTTATAAAGAGAGCAATAGTTTTAGTATTCAAAAAGCTTATAATTTTAGTATTCATAAAGAGGTTTATAACTCAAATATTTGTGAAGAACTAATTAATAGTAATAAGTCATATTTATTAGAGAATTTTAAATAAATCAAAAAAATATTAGAAAATTTTAATCAAAACAATAAAGAGCATATAACAAATCTTATTAGTGAAGTTATAAAATTATAGTAGCAAGTAACAGATCAAAAACAGGAAATCTTAAATTTAAAAAATCAGCTAAATGAATGCTAAGAAAAAATATTTTAAATAAAGAATCTATATTAAAAGCTTTATAAAGAGAATGAAAAACTTACTAATCAATGAATTTTTAATTTTGTAATCAATATAAACATATACACAAGCAGGTTACTAAAATTGCACTGCTTGAACAAGAATTTTTATACAAAGATATTGAACTTATTATTAAAGACAATAAATAGATTTGCTTTGGAAAATCTATTAAATTACACTTTGAAAGTATGGCTAAGTAAACATAATCAAGTTATTGTAAAGTTTATTAAAGCATTAACTCAGAATAATCATAATTCAGATTCTTTAAATGCTAAAAAACTTTACAAAAAAGCCATGGTTATTGATTTAATATACAGGTCTAAATACAAAAAATATGTGTTGAAAATGAGTTTTGTAATGTCAGTCATAAAATACTCTATTGCAAGATCAAAAACTATAATTAATATTGATAGTCATATTACTAATTCAGGATTTTATACTTGTTTTCAGAATTGGTTAGATGAATTGTCTAAAAAAAAAGAACCACTATCTAATGAGGTTGTATTTGTAGTGTTTATTTAGGCTCGGTTTAAAGAGAATTGACTGTATTATATTTTTTTTTGCTATCTGAATTCTTATGTAAATAGTATACCGTAATAAAAGGGGTATTGTGGAAAAAAGATCTTCATCAGAGCACCCACTTGCCTTATACGTTTATGTACAAAAAATGATCAGACCGGAATAATTTTATTAACTACCAATTTAGGACAGTACAAACAATAAAAAAAATAAAATAAATGTTTGTAAAATTGCATGGATGAAACTGCACGGTCCTAGAATTGCATATAATGTATTCCTGATTTTGGTCTTACTGCTATTCAACTTTCAGTATTTTGAAGTTATCTCACATCTCCCTTTTTTTTTTTTTTACCCGCAATTTAATCAATTCCAATTATTTGAACCTTTACGTGTATAGAAACCTTCTATCATTGGCTTCAATGCGAAGTTATTCCGACTCAATTTATATATTTCCCTTGTAATTTGAAATATATTTTGATATACTATGTTTTTCATGGTTTGTTCATTGAGGCTTTACATCGCTGGTCGAAACAGAACGACCACGGTTTATCGTACGAGTTGTGTTACCAGAATTCAATGTTCCCGAATTTGATCTCCGTGCACTTATTGTCCTTGGACTGCCATGTCTTAGAAACAAGGGAATACTGTAAAAATTGATTTATGAGATACATTCACGGCAAATGTCATATATTTAAAGCTACACGATAAATAAGGATTTGTCAAAATAATTTCTTACGGTTCTTCGACTAATAAATCATCAACAGGTAAACCTGATTTTTTTCTTAATTCTATTAACTCATTCTTAAACCGAGTCGCTTGACTTGATTTGGCAATGTCTATTCACCCGTCACATTTAAAAGATTCATCAGGTACTTAAACAAATATAAAGCCATAACGTCACAATTGAATATCACATATAAACATACATTCCTTCTCAATCTCTGCAGCTCTAGTTCTAAGACTGTTAAGCTCAGCCTTGAGGACCTCTACAACACCTTGGGATGCCACACCAAAATCTGGTGATGTTGGTGAGGATGAATGCGGAGGAATCCACTTCTTATGACTTAAGAATAGATTGACTTAAGAATAGATTTAGAAACATAAATATTTATGTAAGGGGTGATATTTTGAAATTAACTCACGTGGAAGATGGGGAGGCCGGAGGCAAAGGCGTGACATTTCCTGTGGTGGAAACCGATGAAGTACTGTTCTCACGGGAATGATGTGGATGGTAAGTTTGTTGTTGACGTAGTGAATCTAATTGTTTCTGAAGGCGATTCACAATATACTCTTGCTCTTGCTCAAGTGCATTTTCCATATCAATTTTTTCTTTTTGTAACTATGTTTTAACAAGAAATTATTTATTAATTCCTCAAAATCTCAGTTAATAAATAATAAAACAAGCAAAAAAAAAAAACCAAAAAAAAACGGTTACTTGATTTAATTTCTTTTGCAATGTATTAGTTAAATATTCCTCTTCCTGTTCAACTTGTAAAAGCAATTCACCTTTCTCTTTTTTGAGACCGGAAATTCGCTTTAGTAGTTTGTTCGAAATATATTCTTCTTCTTGCTCCGCTGATACGTGCTTTGAAAGTAATGAATAGTGAATAGATAAAAAAAATACAGAGATTGGTGGTTAACGAACAAAACTGATGCACAAATGTATAACGATATGTTATATAAATCTTCTTTAACACATACCATGTCGACAGTCATCTGTCTTAACATTTGATTGTCGTGTCTCAATATATTAACATGTCCTTGCTCCATTTCGAGCTCAAACTTTAAATTTTTGATGTCTAACTCTTGCTGTCGAATGTGTTCATACGCACTTTGAAGTTCCTGCCTCAGAACCACTGGATCTTGAGAGTTTAGTACTAATTTTTGTGAATCGGAAGTCGGGGTATACATGGTGTCGAAGATATTTTGTTCTTGGCGCAAATTTAAAATGGCGAAAATGATTTTTGACAGTCAAGATCGTAATATGTCGGAAATATTTTTATATATCGAAAATTTTAGTATATCAAAGAGAAGTCTTATAAGTCTTATCTATATTATCTCACTTTTCATCTCGGAGATTTACTCAATTTTTTCCCGCCCTTGCTTACATTCATATAGGAAGACATTCATGTGATTGGTTAATTTTTTTGTAGACACCAGTGATAATTCAATAATTAAACCAATCAAATTACATAAGTTTTAAAAACTATGAAAAAAACTCAAAGTTTTCACATATTTAGAAAAAGATATATACGCGCGTAAAGTGATATTTAATACTAATTAACATTAAACCCGGATCTTCTACTAAAAAGCTTAGACTTATTCAAATTAATACGTAATAAAGTAGTTTTGGACGAAAACATTTCCAGCAGTTAATTTTTCAGTTAAAATTTACTGTGCGGATACCGCACAATTTGGAAACTTCTCTGTGCGGCAAATAAAGAAAAACCGTGAGCAATTGTTTACAAGTGTGCTCACTACTTATTTATAAAATGCTAATTATTTCTGTGCGGCATTCGCACATCTGTTCGCAGAAATGTGCTGCGCACAGCCTGCACAGCACTGATTTTCCAGTTACTTTCAGTCCAATAGGCGCTATGTATATTTTGTCTTCTAAGTAAAGTAAGTCAGAAGGCAGATTCTTTTTAGATTCTTTTGTATACGTAGTGAACATTAACGTTCGTTCAAAGCTAAGAATGACTTATAGTGATTTTTATTAGTGAAACGTTACGTTTTTAAAACTGTAAAAAGTACTCTAAAGTGTTACCCGGGCAATTTCCCGTGATAATTAACCAATCAAAATGCATAATTTTTAATATATATACTACTAGAAACGAAAAAAATTTAAAGAAGCTTATTAACTGATAAATAAAGGCGAACGAATTTATCACATAGACAGACACGCGTAGAGTGGGTATTCCGAACAGTCCGTTCTTATATGTAAAAATAACAAGTTTAGTTCTTAAAGTGTTACTATGTTGATGAACCGAACTTTTTAATAAAATTTAAAAATGTTCTGAAACTTTGTGTTCGGTTTTTACAGAGTTTTTAAGGGTTCGGATTATCCAGGGTCCGGATTTGGAGGCACTAATTTTGATGTTTATATAATCAATTCTGATTGGCTAATTTTTGTGTAATTTATTCAAATTGGCTAAAAATATATATATGTTTTCTTTTTTTCTATATTATATGTCTATTTTTGAACTTATATAAATTTTAATTCTTTATAACTTTTCAAAACAAAGAATAAAAAAATCCTTTAACAAAATGTAGCTTGTTTAAAAATTCATCAATTTGTTAGAGGGTTTTTTGATTTAGCTTGTAAGTTTTTACTAATAAATATTGGATGCATTTTACTGTCTGGTACTGTCTAATAAACCAAAACTCAAAGAGTGTAGCAATTTAGTGTAGTTGGTAAGTTGTTGCATCTTCAAGTGGCAGGACAAGAGTTTGATAACAAAATTCAAATTTACAAAATATGTTACAGCAGATTATGTATAATTTAACAGATTAGCACCTGTAACTTGGTTGTATTAGCTTGTACTAGAAGGTTGTAGAACAATAGTATGATACAAGAATTATACAAAATTCAAGTGAAATAGTTATATAAATTCAGAAGCTTAAAGCATATAGAAGTCTACTTAACAAGTTCTAAGCAGAGAGATAATACAGATTTTTGATGATACTTATTGTAATGTAGTATTATTAGAACCTTAGTTAACAAGCTACAATACTTGACTAAGTGTATAAGTGGTTAAGAAATGTGTTTATATAATTTTATAACAGAAAACAGTTTATAAATAAAATAAGATATTGCTGATTTATAAATAGAACTCTTCCTGCTGATCTTCTATATACAAAAATACAAAAACAAAACAACAACAAAAAACAATAGAAACACACAAATAGCTATAGAAAATAAGTCTTGCAGCTTTAAAAAAAAAGCAAAAAGACTAAAATTAATACTCAGTCTCTTAAAAGACTTGAGTAAATAGAGCAGAAGCAGCAAAGATATAGTAGAAAAACTTGAAAAATTGTCGATAATTTTGCTCTTTGCAAATCGTTTGGGGATTGACCTTGACTTTGTAATACAGATCAGTTACTATCACACAAGATACACAACATGCAATGAAAAATAAATAAAGAAAATACTTAAAAAACACATGACAGACAAAAATAAAGGAGATATACAAACACAATAACAAATTAGTCATATGAAGCAAAAAACAATAAAAAATGCCAGAACAAAATCTATAACAGCAGAACAAGTGGAGAAACAAATAGCAGCAATACATATAGAATTGAGACAACATAGAGCAGAAAGAATTAAATACACAGAATTTGTACTTAAAGAAAGAAATAATATAGCATATCAAGAGGCAATACATTTAGAAATTGATCCAACAGAATACATTCTACTAGATAAAGTAACCAGTACTATAAGAAACCTATGCATAGCAGAAAGAAAAAAGCTGTTTATACGTAATAAAGAAAGATTGGCTGCTAAATATGCAAAAGCTAGAATAAAATAGGATAGATGAAAAGACTAGATAAGCAGAGAAAGTACCAACAAAGATATCATAATAAAATAATATTAGGACTATTATTATAGCACTTTAGAGAATCAGTAGAATTAATAGAAATAAAGCAACACAAAAAAAAATAAAAAATAAAACTAGAAAGGAAATAAAGAAGATACAAGTTCAACAGAAAGCAAAGCTGCTAGAACAAAAACATAAAGAAGCTAAAGAAAAAAAGAAATATTAAAGGAAAAAATTACAGAAAAAGATATAGAAGACCTAATAGAAAAAGAAACTTTAGACAAACTAACCGAAGAATCAAGACTAAAAATTCTGGCAATAACCTTAATAAAAGAGGAAAACTTCATCAAGATACAAATCAAAAACCCACAAAAGAAAATACTAAGATGGATAGCAGAGTTTATATATCAAGTAAATTTAGAAAGTAGACAAGATAATATTAAAGATTAAAAAAAGAAGAAAAAAGAAATCTTAGAAGAATAGAGTAGATAAATTAAATCATTAACAAACATTAGCATAAATGAAGATAATACTATACAAGATGTAGCAATAGAGAGAACAATAAAAGTCAAAAATTGGAAAAGAAAAAAGAAAAACACCAGGTTTAGAATAGCAAAAAGAAGTATAAGAAAAGTAACCAGAAATCAAAAGAAGTACTTTAAACTGCAAAAGAAGCTACGCAAGTTTATGAAATAAAAAAGAGAAAGCAGATACACAGTTTTGAACAGACAAGAACTGGAAGAAAAAAAAGAAAAATTTCACTTTAGAAATAGTAATAAGGTTTTTAGAAAGACCAAAAGGTAAAGAGATATATACAAGACCTCGAAAGACATATATTAGAAGAAATGTAAGAAGAAAGAAAGAAAGCACAAAGTTTTAACGAAAGAGAAAAAAAGATTCAGACAAGTTAACCAAGATCTAAAAGCAGAAGAATCAAAAGTAATACTGAAGAAATTAGATAAAAGAAAAAGTTGCAGACCAATACTTCTAGAAGAAATCTGTATAAAGAATATGATCAAGAATAAGAAGAATAAAGTGAAGTTTAAGAACTGCAAAAAACACAAAAAGAAGAGAGAAAGTAAAAGATCGAAGTACTAGAGCAGACTACCAATAGAAAGAAAAGAAATAGAGTATGAAAAGATGAATTGGGGTAATTATAAAAAATCACAGAAGAAATTAAATAGTAGTAAAATTTTTAGAATTTATAAAATAGAGAATACACAAAGTAATAATCTTACTTTAAAATTAGTAATTTGATACTTTGCATTGTTTACAAGTACTGGCCACGGCCAAAGTACAATTACATTGTGGAATATAAATATAATTAGATAGTATTGACAAGGCAGGTAGTCACCAGCCGATGATCAAAGAGAAATAAATTTTTAATGAATTAAGAATCTGAAGAGAGGCTAAAGACTACTAAGGCAGATCACATCTAGGCAAAAGCCAGGGTGAGTCTTTAGTTTGGTTAGATTAGCGATAGCTACAGATAGAAATGTATAATTCTTGAATAGCTTAATTTCAAATAAACAGAGGCAGAATTGCTGAATTATAAAAAAAATATTGTTGACTTATTACTAATACAACCTCAATAAAGAAAAGTTATAACTAACAGTTTATAAACTAAAGATAAATTTACTAATTCAAATAATAATACTTAAAGAAAATAGCTCATATAAAGCAAAAATAACAATATAAAAACAATAATTTTACTATAAAAATTCAATAAAAATACAATAAACTCTCTATAAACATACTATAGAATTATAGTTTATTAACAATAAATTTCATAAGAATAAAGTTTTATTTCAAGAAAATATTAAAAAAGAAGGAACAAATATACTCATAGAACGATGTAAATATTAAAAAAATAGGTGTGGAGTATATATTAATATCCTTCTGCCTTAGAGAAAAAGGCATGGTTTAAATATCTTTAAAATGCTATATAATAAGATATTGTTATACAATAAAGCAATAAATCATTATAACAATAAAATAACCATTGTAATAATGAGATAAATTATTGTAATAGTGTTGTGTGCCACTATTTAAGTTGTTAATCTATAATAATAATGCTAAAAATAATGTTATTATACAAAAAAATGCTATTGTATAATGAAATGCTATTCTATAATAACATATTACTATGATAATCATTATGTATAACGTATACAATAATTAATAATTAATAATTTCTAAAATTAGTAATACAGCCAAATAATTAATAAT